CATCGCAAATCCCTACGCTACTACCATTGAACCTCTCGAATCCGAAGCGATGGACCCTGAAATGGAAACTCAAGTTGCTGGACAACAACCTCCCACTGCTTCTGGAGTTAACAATTCCCAGAATTTGCAGCAAATCTTGAACCAGCAATCCATCACGAATGCTCCGCACACCGTCCATCAAACGATCACCAATGTCTTTACTATCACTGGAAGTGAGAACACGGACTCCTGGATCGTTAGGACTAAGAATTGTCAAGTCAAATTGGCTAGTCTTGCTTCGCTCGCTTCGGATGGTTCAAATTTCGACGTTTGGGATGCCGATATTCAAGAATATCTTGAGACGATGACTGGATGTATTGATTACCTTCACCCTGCTGCTATCCCATCGGTCTCTGGTTGGAGAGAAGACATCGCTAGGGGCATCAACGGACTTTTTCACTGGACCGTTGACAAACACATCAGTATGCTTCTAAAGGAACATTCTCCTGTGCCGTCCGCCCGTTACGCCTGGTTGAAAAGTCAATTTTCAGGACAAACCTTTGCCGGGCGAATGTCTTTATTGGATCAATTCACTTCTATTAAATATGATCCTTCTTCGACAACCCTAGATTCTTATGTTCAATCTGCTTCTACCTTACGACGTAAATTAGAACGATCTGGCATGTTCATTCCGGATGATATCTTTGCTGGAGTTCTTATGAATAGCGTTCCTCACGACTTTCCCAACGTATCCAACACTTTCGAAGCCCAGATTATCAACAATTCTGGATCGATTGTCAACTCATCGGCCATGATCCGAGCCATTGGAGCTGCTGATGTGGCTCATCGTCGTGGAACTGTTTCGGTTGCGGATGGACTCAGTACTGCTGTTGTTAAATCTCCTAAGGTCAAAGTCGTACGTTGTTACTACTGCAAGAAATCCGGTCATACTAAACCGGAGTGTCCTATCCTCAAGGCTAAGGACAAGAAGCGTCAAGCTCCGACGGCTTCTACTTCCGATGTGCGAACTGTGGAACCTCAGTTTGCCGACATCGACTTTTCAGGGTGTGTGGATATCCAACATATCATCGTTTCACAACTCGATACTGATATATCACCCTCTACCATTATTTTCGATACTGGCGCTACTCACCATGTATTCAACAATCGCTCATTCTTCATATCTATTCGCAACATCAAACCATTACCAGTTAGAATGGCCAATGATTCTTCTTCTTCTTTTATCACTGGTGTTGGTCGCGTTAGAATTTGCAATGTAACAAACTCAGACGAGTTTTTGGATGTGGATAATGTTTACTTTTGTGAGAACCTTCGTCATAGTCTTCTCTCTGGAATTCAGTTGGAGGAAGATGGTATATATTTTCGAAATTCATCAGTTGGTATTGAACTCTGGAGAAATCAATCAAGAGTTTTAACAGCGCAGAAGTCTGGTAGGAAGTGGATTCTTAAGGCTGTTCCAAGTATCGTTGAGACTGCGGCTGTGTTAGGCGACTTTATGCTGTGGCATCGTCGTCTGGGTCATGTGAATGACCGAACTTTTGTTGAAGCTTGTTCGTGATAAAATCATGTGTAGGATTGCCTGACAAACTAACCAAGACTGTGGCTTGTGAAGATTGTGCTGTGGCTAAATCAACGAAGACTTCAACAATTGGTCCCTCTCTAATTTCATATGATGGACCTCTTCAGCTTGTCGTAGCTGATCTGTGTGGGCCTTTTCCTGTCAAAACAGTGTCTGGTTCTGAATATTCTTTAGAAATCCGCGACGTTTTTTCAACTTTCATGCGGACTTATCTATTAAAATCAAAGAATGAAGCAGCAAATCAAATCAAAATTTTTATTGCTGAAGCAGAAAGACGCACTGGGAAGAAGGTGATACACTGGCGTACTGACGGTGGGGGGGAATTTGTTAACAATTCCTTGAAATCTTATTTTGCTGAGAAAGGTATAAAGGTTCAAAATTCGTTGCCATATTTTCATGAACAAAACGGATCTATTGAACGTGCGAACAGAACTGTTCAGGCTGGGATGCGTGTTCTTCTACGTGATTCAGGACTTCCAAAGAAGTTCTGGGGTTTTGCTATTATCACAGCAACTGACTTACACAATAAAACACCAAATTCAAACACCGGATCAAAAACACCTACTGAATTGATGTTTGGTTTCTCTCCCCAAGTTGATCATTTACGAATTTTTGGTAGTTGGGCTTTTGTTCATGTTCCTGTAGAAAAACGCAAGAAACTCGATGACCGGGCTATCAAATGCCGTTTTGTTGGTTATCTCGATGCCAGCAAGGGATGGCGGTTTTGGAACCCTTCAACTAATGAGTTCATTGATTCGGCTCACGCACGATGGTTGGATGAAAAAACCATTCCTAAAGTTTCCCCTATACAGGATCGACCTCATCATCTTGATGAAACTTCCCTTCAACACATTCTCACTTCGAACGATACTATCGATAACCACGAAGATCTTCGTACTCTTTTTGAATCTCTCTCGATATCATATTCTCTAGATGATTCAACTTTCACGGAAACAGTAAGAGAACAAGACTTGAACATCGACCTCCTTCATGCCAAAGCTGCTGGTTTCTCTCAACATCTTCCACGTAGTTATCAAGAAGCAATGAGCAGTGAGTATTCTCATGAATGGAAGGCTGCATGTAGGAAAGAATTGGATATGTTAATTCGACTTAAAGTTTGGGAAGAAGTTGTTTTACCACCCGGCCAGAAAACAGTGTCTAGCAAGTGGGTATTTGCAGAAAAAACCGATTCTCATGGTAACATCACAAAACGAAAATCCCGATTTGTTGTGAGAGGTTTTACTCAACGTGAAGGCTTGGATTTTTCAGAAACCTTCGCACCCACAGCAAAGTTTACCTCACTCATGATCATTTTCTCTATCACTGTTCAACGAGGTTTTCATATCCGCGGTTTCGACGTTGTAGCAGCATACCCTCACAGCCCCATCGACGAAACAATTTACGTCAAACCAGCTGAAGGAGTACTTACGTCGTCACCCAATCTGGTTCTGCTTCTCAGGAAGGCTTTGTATGGTACCAAGCAAGCAGCCCGCTGTTGGTGGAAACACTTCTCATCAGTCCTATCTGGTATGGGTTGCAAGTACTGTATAAATGACCAAAGTCTGTATGTTCTGCATTACAAGAACGATATCGCCTTACTTTGGATTCATGTGGACGACGGTGTGATCTGCGGTTCATCAATGAACATTATCAACTTTATCCACGAATCACTATTGAAGACTTTTGAAATCACTTGGAACGACAACCTAGAACAAATCGTCGGTATCAAGATAGATTATCGACCAGATGGAATTTTCTTATCACAACCGGTTCTTACTTCAAGTTTATTGGAAACGACTGGCTTCTCTTCTTCCCGAACGTCAACTCCGATGACGGCCAATCTTCAACTTGAAACTTCTGACAAGGAGTCTGTGGGTATCAATTCATCATCTTATCTGTCGATTTTAGGCTCTCTATCTTATCTGGCAATTGGAACCAGACCCGACATTTCCTTTTCGGTGAATTACTTGGCTCGTTTCTCGTCAAAACCTGGGGATAAACATTGGTTAGCATTGAAGCATCTACTTAGGTATATTAGTGGTACGAGGAATGAAGGGATTTATTTTAGAAAAAGAGAAGAAGATGGTGGATTAATTACTTACTGTGATGCAAATTGGGGAGGTGAATTTTCACGCTCGACTCATGGTTTTGCAGTTTTTCTGTTTGGTAATATTATTTCATGGGCATCAAGAAGACAAAGTTGTGTTGCGACTTCGACTTGTCATGCCGAATATATGGCATTAGGTGTATCAGCACGGGAATCTATTTGGATTCAAATTTATTGGAAGACATATTCAAGACAACTTTCATTACAACTTTAAAATGTGATAACACAGCGGCCATCAAAGTAGCGCAAGACTTACATCTGACCAAACGATCACATCATGTAGCAAGAGAATTTCATTACGTTAACGAACAAATATTCGATGGAAATCTCAAGATAGTTTGGATTGATGGACCCAATCAAAAGGCAGATATACTTACGAAATCTTTGGGTAATATCATATTTCAAATACATAAACATAATATTTGTATGTCCTAACTAGTATAAACCTCTAAAGGTTGAGGGGGGGGTGTTACGGCTGAGGTGGCTAGGCACCGTAAGTGACTAGGCAATCATCCTAGTCTCACCCGTTTTCGGTTTAGCCCAGTTGGAAGATCTAGGAATGTTAGATCAGGGCTGGTTTCTTTTCTCTCTTAGCGTCATTGATGTAATGCCTGGCTGAAACATGTTTCACATATATAGTTCACGTTTCTTCCTAAAACTTGTGTTCTCTCTATTGTCACAATTTCTATTTGTTTCGGTAGACCTTTCACTAACACTAGTTTCACTAGGTAGATCTTTTATTTCTCTTTATGTTATTGTCACAATTTCTATTTGTTTCGGTAGACCTTTCACTAACACTAGTTTCACTAGTTTGCGTTTCAACTCTGTTCGTCTCTACAATTGTCACGAGAGCCATCTCTTTTTAAAAAGTATGATGAGAGTGACATGTTGTGACTTCAACACCATCACACACTTTGGAAATTTCCCCCTCTTGTAACATGACCTGAACATTTGTAAAAGTGACACAAGATGATTCTCTCTGTCCAGGGCAGGTGATAGAAGAACAACTAGTCAAACTCTACGAGAATGAGCAAATTCTTTGAATCATTATTTTGTAGGATGTCGCACATTTTCTTTCAGAAGGGACACCTTTATAAAAGGAAAGGTTTACTTAGCTCAAAAGAAACTACTCCTCAGATTTCAACTTTTCAATCAAAAGGTTCACTCTAAACTAATACATTCAAAAAGAAACGATAACCTAAGATTCAAAGACCATGTAGTAATCCAAAACCAAAGCCAGAAACCAAATCTTTCTCTTGACACAAAAATCATCTTGATCTTCTCTTCTCCACCTCAGTAATATCAAAACGAAGTTCAAGAAGAAGCACGTTTCTTTTGACTATACAACAATCCACCCAAATATCTAAACGAAAAAAAAAACACGTGAAGCTCATTAACCAAATCATTCAATCATGAAAAACCATAAGTTCATTTAAAACCTTACCCTTGACTACCAAACAAAGCACCTAATCCAATCACCGTAGCACTCACAATCCTTCTATCCCATCTCTTACGATCCCAATTCATAAACACCATCCATCCCACACCTGCCAAAACACCTACGTTCAAAACTGATAATAAGCCGAATTGGTTTTGAGGTGAATGGATTTCTCTACGAGCTTTTTTAGTTACTTTATCAAGTCGATCGGCTGGTCTTTTGGATTTGTTTTGTTGATGATTGATGGATTTCTTGGTAGGTGTGGTGCCTAGATCGGATGATGATTCAGATGAATTATTGGTGTCTTTTTCTTCTCTTGATCGGTTTAGATCTTCTTCAAATTGAGTTTTTCCTGACCAATCATTCGGTACAACTACCGCAAAAAAAAGACATACATATTAAGAAACTTTAGATTGATGATCTGATTTAGAGATGAGAGAAAGTGTAGATTCAAGTTGGATTACCATTCAGTTTATGATTCACATCTGGAAGTGAAGTTTGATGTGCATGTTGACTTGCTAAATCGTTGGTAGGACCTTCTAATAAACTTGGATCTGGTTTAGGTTGTTGATCTGGAGGTAAAGTGTGTTGTGCTGTGATAGATGCGTAACTTTTTTTTGGGGGGTAAGGTAAACAGATGAATTAGTGATGGTTTTCGATGGTGATCAGAATGAATTGAGTTTACCTCATTTTGATCAATGGATGGATTGGTGGTGGATGAGTTGATGGTGGATTGATAGGTAAAGTGAATCGGTTGATAAAGCCTTTTACGATTTGATATATGACGTCATTGATTTGATTTCCATTTTCGTCAAATTCTCTTTCATTAAAACCAAATTCAATTCACCATGCATATACAGCAGTTCTTGTATCAAAGCTCCATCTCAAAATCTACTTTACTACTTTAAGAATCCCATTGATGGTAAACTAGAATACAGTCTAGTCAAAGGTAAAGGTAATTAACCAACTTGAATTTTCAATCTTGTGCTTCTCATGAGACTTTGTGTTTAGTAATTCCTAATTTGATGAAAGACCACTTTGAAAAGTAAATAAGTTGGCTTCTCTTTATCATTCACTCAGAATACATTTTGCGATCACCGAGCAGACTTTCGATCATTCCTTTTGTCTATTCTAAGCTATTCTGTACCTCAGTTCTTCGGGCAAATCAACTATGCAAACTCATCTGGTTTACTATTTTTGATGAAGCATTTTCAAGTCACCTTACCTAACTCAGCACATCTACCATATACCTACTCTCTAAAAACCATACCTAAGATCCTTTATCAGAAACACAAATCTCAACACCGATCATCATCTTTTTAAACATTTTTTTTAAGAAACGAAAACCGAACATTCAAACAAAATTCCATTCATGTAAAACAAAAATCAAACTTTTAATTCAATGAAAATGCAATTTTTGAAAAAAAAAAACCAAAACCAAAACCACCCAATCTTTTCAACTTTTTTAAAATTCTTTCTTTCTTCGATCTACTCAAAATGAACCCGAATATTTACTTTTATTTTTTAGATTTCCCAGTTTTTCGTTTCCTAACCATCCCATTCGAATTCCGATCACCTTCACCTTCACCTTCATTTTCCTGTTGATTTAATTTTTCATTCGATTCAACTACTTCTTCTGTTCTTCCAGGTACTTGACTCATAGGTAAATAAGACGAAACAAATCTATAAGCCGTTGCCGGTATAAACGTATTCTTCAATGAAGGTTTAGTAGCTGCTGATTCATCTAAAGGTAATTCTACCATCATCCCCCCAACCAAAAAAAAACCAAAACATCATTAAAACACACTTCTTTTATGGAATTCTCATTCTAAATGTATTCTTCACTTACCTGTTCCATCCTCAGCAACGATCCAAACAAAATCACCTTCAACAACCATATCAATCCAACCAGCTTGAGTAGGTTTCGAAAGGTTTGAATTCTTTTGACCTGCTTGTAATTGACGTCGTCTTTCTTGTCGACTCATCACCATCGGTACATCTGATGATGATGATGATGATTCTTCTGCTTTAAGATTCTCTTCTCCTAATGATAAACTCTTTTCAATTGAGATCTTGACTTTCTTTCTAGGCACTTTGCTTTCGGTTTCTTCTTTTTCTAAAACTTGTGTTGTTGATGATGGTTTTGGTTTTTCTGGTGCTTGTAATCCTTTGGGACCATATGCTGCTTGTTTGGCTGCGATTTGAAATCTATGGCGAAAAATCAAAAACCAAGTTAGGTTTATTGTTGTTTTTAAGATTAAGAGATTCTTGAAAGCTTACTTTCGGATTCTGATTAATTCTGATCTGTAATGAACATGTTGAATTCCATAATGCATTAAAGTAGCTACACTCAACACAAACATAATAGCAAACCCAAGACCAGGTTGCCAACGAGAATACATATCTAAAGAAACGAAAAAAAAATCAAACTCATCAGCACAAAAGAAAGGTGAGGTGATCGCATTATATCATCGAGATTTGATCAAAAATGAATGGATGATCAAGTTCAAGACTTACATCCAGTTCCTTTCCATTTAGGTACACCATTATCATGAAAGAAATTATACCGTTCACGTTTCTCTTCATCCCTCAAGATCGCAGTAATAACACCTAATCTAGCAAATCTAGCTTCGATATCTTTCACATTCGGATTCTTATCTGGACTAAAGTCGTTTTATTCGATTTTCAAATCCATTCAAACCCCCCAAAAAACGTTTAGTGAACAGATCAAAAAGTTTTGATTGATGGATTGGCGGGTTTGAGGAAACTTACTGTAGTTCAAGTGATCTTCTACGTGCAGCTTTATTAATTTCGGGTAAACTGGCCGATTTAGTGATGTTTAAGAACGTATCTATCATCATCATCATAACGATAATAACAATCAAAATGATGAGAAAAAGTTAAGGATCAATTTAAATAGTGAGAAATGGAAAATGATGGAATTTTGGCTTACAAAACGTAGTGCCTTTTCCTTCTGAAGCTTCAAGTGCGCTAACTAAATCAAAGATCTCACTTTTGGTAGAAAAAAGTTCATTCGAGAGTTTCAAGTGTCAAGATTATTTGGGTTTCGTTGGGTTGGAGAAAAGGGTGCGGTGAACTTTTACTTACTGATCATCTGTATCCCATCCATATACACTAATTTAAAGATTCAAAGACAAAACCATTAATGTGAGATTTGTGAGTGTTTCAAGAAGTTTTAATGGATCGGTTTGATGGGATGGGATGACTTACTTGTTGGAGAAACAGAGTAAAGAACCCAGGATGCAAGAAAGGATGATGGATAAATTCATGATTTTGATGTTGGTTTTGAATGGGTTTGATTTTGTTTGAAGTGAATGAGTTGGACAACGGAAGGTTGGTATTTATTTGATCGATCAAGTCAGCGTTGACGATCGACTTTGACTTGTAACTTAGCAACCAACAGTTTCAAAAACATTGTTGCCAACAATGTATTTCACTTCAATACAGTTTGTAAACTATAACTTGCAAATCGATCTTTTTTCGAAGTCATTCTGATGATCCTAATCTGAAGTGGGAAATGTTCAAATGATGGAAATGTGATTTATAAAAATTTGAAAACTTTCATGGACTACCTTGAAGCCTTTTCATCGATCTTAACATCATTCACTTCTTCTCGAAAGAAACCTCGGACTTGAATGAAGAATGAAAAAAACTGAACAGAACTTGAAAGGTTTTTTAAGATGAGAGAGAACTCAAGTTGAGCTGTTGATATGACATCAAGCCTGCTGCCAACCTTCACAGTTCATGGCAATTCATTCTTATCGATCAAACCAATCATCAATCAGAGAACTTTGACTGAGACAACCGCATTCACAACCAAAACAACCAAATAACCTAATCAAAGCAATCAAATGTCAAACATATAGGGTATACAAATATGTTCTGGGAATTTCCAGAAGGTTTTTTCCAGAACGCCAGAACCCTTCTCCTTGAACCGGATTTTACCCCGGTTGATTAACGGTTTTCCCTTGACTGGTGAAGAACCTGTTTGGAACGAGTCCCTCCCAACCGTGCTGCAACGGGGGTTTTTCCCCGGTTTTTCAGCCGGGTTCACTCAGAGAAAAACCCGATGTTGAGCGGAAAATACCCAGTCCTTGAGTTAGGTTGATTCTGTGCGGTCAGGTGGCTCAGTTTTTTATTGTATGGATCCTGCGAGGAGCAAAGGTTTAGACTAGAGCACATATATTGGTTAAATTGCAATTAGTAAACTTAGTTGAAGATACATGGATAGACAATACAGAACTGGATAATTGTTTAAGTAAATCAGTGAAGAGAAGAAGCAGGTGGTTTCAAATTGGATGGTCAATTGAGAAGCTATGTAGACAATTTGATTGGTTGCTAATGCAAGCTATATGTCTATATGTGATAAAGTCCCGTTTGGAGTCTTGATAAGATTTAGATATAGGATGAATAGAGATGTATATACATAGCACAAGTTGAATCTGATACACCAGTCGCGTGATCGGTCTGATAAGAAAGCGAACTGAAGATGACCAGGGCTACGTTTACTTTGACTAGTATGTGGTCATTACATAATTCAGCTGATCTGAATCAAAAGGTAAGTGTTGATGAGAGTTGCATTGAGAAGGAGTAGGCAAAGGATTTGTTGAATGATAACTTGAAGGTGGTCGATTAGATTGAAGTGAAGGATCAAATGATGAAGAAATCAAAGCATTAGCAAAATGATTATAAGGAGATGGATAAGTTTGACCGAGTGGATCGATAATCTGTTATGCAGAAGTGAGAATCAAAATGATGAGATTAGTGAGATATGAAGTTGAAAAGGGTTAGTGGAATTAGACATGGTGATGATGATGATGAATGGTACTGAGAAATTGGTGAACTTCAAGTTGTTTATGAGTTGACTGATTGAAACTGCTTTTTGAGAATTGAAAAGGTTGAGAAAGCCAAGTTGGTTGTGTAATTTTCTTCACTTGATTCGTTTTTGATGATGATGGTAATTAGTAACAGATGTCTTGATTTGGTTTTTAGCTTTTTTCTCAAGGTGAGAAAGTCAAAGACCTTTCATTGAATCGGGGTAAGCCCCGTGGCTTGCGTGCTCAGCGACAAAAATGGTTGAAACCCCGTTTTGAATCCGTTGAAGCTTGACCCATTGCGGAACCGTTGGTATCCATCACGGTTTTGAAAACGCTGCACCAAATGTGGTTGATGAACGGTTGATCCAATGGTTGATCAACCGTTCCTGATCAAACCATTGCAAAACTGGTTTTGGACGGTTGCAGAATGGAGTATTCACCGGATTGTACTCGGTTTATTTTTTCACCTCTGGAACCCGGTTGGTCAACTAAAAGTGACCTGGTGGTGTAATCAACCGGGGTAAAATCCGGTTCAAGAACCGGAATAGTGACCTGGTGGTGTACCCTAATAGAACAGGACATCAGATGATTATGTTTTCCTGATCACCTCATCATGAATCACCAAACCACATATCAGTTGATTCTAGAGACCAAGTTCACTCGAGTCTTGTGAATCGAACTTAACAAAGTCCCTCGCATGCGGTAAAACCCGGAGCCTTGTCAAGTTCGCTTGTGAATGACACTTTCGACACCACCACATGAACTCATCACATTCTTCATATCACTGGCACTATCCATCACAATGCAGTAGCTCATCTCAGCAGTTCACTTAACCGTACTTCAATTCTTTTTCAATTCCGTCAGGCTTCCATGAAGTGAATTATCTTTTTTTTGAAAATGGACATAATCAATCATAAGCTCGCCATCTCTTGCTCAGGTCATCCCTGCTCACCCATCTTTCTACCTTACTAGTTGGTCTAATAAAAAGATCATACATTAAAGCATTGACGAAATTTGATCGGAATGTTTTGTGTAGGAAACCCGGTTCAGGCACCTAACCCAAGAAATGGATGACTGTAAAACTCATTTGATGTTAGAGATTTTGTTCCTTCAATTCTTTTATCGATCTAAATCTTTTATAAAATCAATCATCAAAGATATCTATAACTCGCTACCAAAAATCATCATTATTTCCTTTTGTTTTGGGTGCAACAGAATCACTTTGAATATCTAACACTCTTAAACCTTTCTCAATCCATCAAATATGTCTCTTGCTCGCAAATCTTCTTGTGACTGTTCTTTGGGTTATGGTGAGCACTTTTTTCTTGATTTTCTTTCTCTAATTTTTCCTATTCAGCTTCTATCAGACTGTAGGGCGGAATTGTATCAATTCCACAGTCCTTCCTTTGAGCTCTCCAAGCAGTATAGACTGTTTCGTGTGGATCTATGTCTTTCTTTCTTCTGCATATCAATGGCTTCTCATTCCAGACTTAACAATACTAATAATGCATCATTTTTTTGTGACATCATCCAACAGCTCAACAAGCCCCGAATCCGAGCGATGGGCAATCAACGCGACGATCGGTGGATGTCAACAACCCCACCCGGACCGAAGTGATCGCCGGTCCTTCTTTACTCGAACTTCGACACGGTCCATCATCTCATGGTCGTGTTGGGAAGAACAGATCACGGTCTCGATCCGCACCTTGCAACTTTCCACCAAGGTCAACACTTCTTTCAACTAGGTCTTGTTCTCCTGCAAGTACCTCTGAGGTATATGCCAGTCCTTCATTGACCTCCCCATCTGGACACTGCTCGTAAGTCTTTCCAAAACATGTGCTTTCATCTCGACCTATACTGATTTTGTTTTATTTGTTAATTTATTGATTGGCTTTTCGGAATAGCTATGGAGAAGAATCAGAGACTGAGATTTCAGTTTGTGAAACGTTGAGATCACTCTCTACAGATGATTCCATAACCACGAGCGACTCGGAAGACACTCAGGTCTCTGAGCCTTCAACCACCGAGGGTGATGATGATGTCATCTCATCAAAGGCTGGTCAATTCTTTGATGAAGATGTCAGATTTCCTCCGGTTCCATCTGTCATTGAAGGTCCTTTAGATTTTTCTTTAGTTGAGCAAGTCAGATGGGAAGATTGCGCTAAAAGAAGGATTGCAAGGATGGTGGAAAAAGAGCCGGTTGTAGCATCACAACTTCAAGTGGTTGATACTGGGTACGATGCTATACCTCTTGCTGTAAAGCAAGATATTATCACTTGGTTAATTGCGGTACGTTAATCTTTCTTTACCATTGGTTGATTTACATATTACTGATATTTTTGATGAATAGTTTGAACATCGGATCAGCGATTATCCAAATATCTCCCTTCCCATGAGGCATCGAGCGATCATACTGTTTCATCAGTTTTGTGCTTTGGATACCATGGAAAACATCGACGCCGAGCAAATCAAGCTCCGAGCACATCAAATCGGTGTGGCATGCCTTATGTTGGCCTGTAAAGTTGATGTCGATTTCCTGGCACCGTTAGAGGTGATCCCATTGGTGTTTTTGGGAATGGAGTGTGGTGCAGTCGGGTTGGGTTCACATCTGCGCTGAACAAATTGGGGTTCGTAGTTTTTTTTCTTACACTCTAGTGTTTGAAGTGGTTTTCTGAATTTTGTATTTCGTGTACTATTTCATTAGATGTTGGAGCAGCTTGTCTTGGAGACCTTGTCTTACCAAGTGACATTTCCTACTCCGTGCGACTTCCTCACTGAACTGGTATTTGCTATACCAATGTTGGAAAACCTTGCATCGCATTGTGTACAGGATTGGCAGCTTGTGGAGGAAGGGTTTGAGTGGATGTACGGGCATGCATATCGACGTACGTTCTTCTTTGTTTGCTCAGTTGATCATGATGTGTTACTGATAATTTTGCAATTGGTTAATAGATCCAGAATATGGTCATTATCGGTCATCTGTTCTAACGGTGGCTGTTCTATTATTCTGTTTGGATCAATGTATCTTTGATCATCCGCGTTCTCAAACCAGAACACTTGGTCAAGTTTGGTGGAGGAATGTCAATGGAGTTTGGGCAGAGACAAGGGGACAAGATTCATTAGAAGAGGTATCTTGTAACCTTGCGAGTGATGAGGTCCGGGGACATTGGGTGAACCTCAGTGAAGCAGGTATTAAGACTTCTATCTGTGAGCTCATGGGTTTGGAGCAGGTTTGTCTTTTATTTCTTCCAGATTTATCCTTAGCAGCTTGTTCCAAGTGTATGATTACGAGGAATCACTGACATGTGTTTCTTTTCTTTGGTTTTGCTTTAAAAGTGTGAGGTTGATCGGTGTAAAAAGTGGTGTGCGGCTCTTTGATCAAAAGTGCCTCTTCGATATTTTTCTTTACTTTATTATCTTGGATCATGGTTTTCTTTGATTTGATTTGTGAAATGTGTATCTTAATATCTCCTCTGATAGTTTTTTTTGGATTGCTTGTGTACAACAAAAGATGATGATGGTGCGGAAGCTTCAGGTTTGAGAGTCGTCAATCAAAATTATCCTTGTTTTGTTGCCATTTTGCCGTATAAAAATCGATACATCTGCGTCAGAGTTTTGGAGTAGCCTTGGATTGTAAACACTTGTCATTGATACTCGCTGTTTTACAGCCGATCGTAAGTGATAACCATGTTTTGGCGCCAATGGCAACAGTCGGAACAAACAAATTGCCTCAATCCTGAGCAACTTGTTTATTAACAGGTGTTCGAGCGAATTGTATAATTTCATCACTTAATTCGATGATTCATTCTTAAAGTGTGATCATAACAAATTATTTTCACGTGTCTCACTTCTGCAATTATATCCGATTGTATCTTGATAGGATCTTATGATTCAAGGGTTGATTTTGGGAGACAGTTTGTATTGGTGGTTTAGCGGTGTAGTCTGAGTCACTTTTCCTTTGTTTTTCTTTCTGAGCTCGCAATTGCTGCAATGTGGCCAATAGACGAGGGTTTTTTTCAATTTAAGTGCTCGACATATACGATTGTCTGATGTTCTTTGGAGAGGTATCCTATGATCCTCACCAACAAATAGATAAGAGAGCAACTGCGTTTCACCATCAAGCAACTTTTGGGAAGTTCATATCGGTTGACTCTAGAGATCAAGTCACTGAAGTGCAAATGAGACTTTCGAAACCAAAACATGAACTCACCCATTCTTCATGGCATCGTCCAACACAATTTGATTGATCATGGCAGGCTCAGCAGTTCTTCTTTTTCAATTACATCAGGACTCTGTAAACACATTTTGAAAATGGACATGATCAATCAAACAACTTGCCAGCTCTTGCCAGCTGGTCTACAAATATGATTCGTCGAAGCGTTGACAAATTCGATCAACTGTTTTTTAGGAAAGTCAGTACAGGCACCCAATGGATGACTATAAATTCAGCTTCATCTCCTATTTTGTTTCTTAAACTCCTTTATGAATCATCAACAGCTTCAGAATCCATCTTCTCACCTTTCTACAAATCGACTTAAAAAGTACCTTCTTGCTTGGGCGCAACAGGACCACTTTGAATGTCCATGACTCTTGAAACTTTTCATCATCTCCTCATATACAACAACACATCTCTTAATCCCAAATATTCTCGCATTTGTTCTTTGGCTTGCGGTTGGTACATCTCGTCACTCCTCATTTCTCTCCTGTCTTGTCAATTTCCGTTTTGCGGTTTCCATCGAAGAGGGAGGTGGAATTGTATCACCACCAAGATTTTTTCACTCAGCTCTTTAAGAAATACTTTTGTGGGGATCTATGTCGATGCTTGTCCATTACATCAATGGCTTCTCAACCCAGTTTTATAGAAGCTAATGTATCTTTTTTGTGACGTCATCCAACAGTTCAACAAGCCCCGACTCCGAGAGATGGACAATCAACTCGACGATCGGTGGATGTCAACAACACCACCCGGACCAAAGTCATTGCCGGTCCTTCTTTACTCGAACTTCGACACAGTCCATCATCTCATGGTCGTGTTGGGAAGAACAGATCACGGTCTCGATCCGCACCTTGCAACTTTCCACCAAGGTCAACACTTCTTTCAACTAGGTCTTGTTCTCCTGCAAGTACCTCTGAGGTATATGCCAGTCCTTCATTGACCTCCCCATCTGGACACTGCTCGTAAGTCTTTCCAAAACATGTGCTTTCATCTCGACCTATACTGATTTTGTTTTATTTGTTAATTTATTGATTGGCTTTTCGGAATAGCTATGGAGAAGAATCAGAGACTGAGATTTCAGTTTGTGAAACGTTGAGATCACTCTCTACAGATGATTCCATAACCACGAGCGACTCGGAAGACACTCAGGTCTCTGAGCCTTCAACCACCGAGGGTGATGATGATGTCATCTCATCAAAGGCTGGTCAATTCTTTGATGAAGATGTCAGATTTCCTCCGGTTCCATCTGTCATTGAAGGTCCTTTAGATTTTTCTTTAGTTGAGCAAGTCAGATGGGAAGATTGCGCTAAAAGAAGGATTGCAAGGATGGTGGAAAAAGAGCCGGTTGTAGCATCACAAGTGGTTGATACCGGGTGCGATGCTATACCTCTTGCTGTAAAGCAAGACATCATTACTTGGTTAATTGCCGTATGTTGATCTTTCTTTACAATTGGTTACTTAACATATTGCTGATATTTTTTGATACGAATAGTTTGAACATCGGATCAGCGATTATCCAAATATCTCCCTTCCCACGAGACATCGGGCTATCATACTGTTTCATCAGTTTTGTGCTTCGGACACCATGTCAAACATCGATGCCGATCGAATCAAACGTCGATGCGGATCGAATCAAACTCCGAGCACATCGAATCGGTGTGGCTTGTCTTACATTGGCATGTAAAGTAGACATCGATTTCTTGGCACCGTTAGAGGTGATGCCATTGGTATTTTGGGAATGTAGTGTGGTGCAGTCGGGTTGGGTTCATATCTGCGCTGAACAAATTGGGGTTTGTAGATTTTTTTCTTACACTCTAGTGTTTGTAGTGGTTTTCTGACTTTTGAATTTCTTGTACTACATCATTAGATGTTGGAGCAGATCATCTTGAAGACCTTGTCTTACCAAGTGACATTCCCTACACCATGCGACTTTCTTACTGAACTGGTATTTGCTATACCAATGTTAGAAAACCTTGCATCGCATTGTACAGGATTGGCAGCTTGTGGAGGAAGGGTTCGAGTGGATGTACGAGCATGCATATCGACGTATGTTTTTCTTTGGTTGTCCAGTTGATCGTGATGTGTTACTGATAATTTGTAAATTGGTTAATAGATCCAGAATATCATCAGCATCGGTCATCTGTTGTTACAGCGGCTGTTTTATTATTCTGTTTGGAACAAGGTATCTTTGATCATCCACGTTCACAAACTATCAAACTTGGACAAGTTTGGTGGAGAGACGTGAATGGAGTTTGGAAAGAGACAAGGGTACAAGATTCAATACAACAGGTATCTTGTAAGCTTGCTAGTGATGAGGTCAGGGGACATTGGGTGAACCTCAGTGAAGAAGGTATTAAGACTTCTATCTGTGAGCTCATGGGTTTGGAGCAGGTTTGTCTTTTATTTCTTCCAGATTTATCCTTAGCAGCTTGTTCCAAGTGTATGATTACGAGGAATCACTGACATGTGTCTTTTTTCTTTGGTTTTGCTTTAAAAGTGTGAGGTTGATCGGTGTAAAAAGTGGTGTGCGGCTCTTTGATCAAATTCGCCTTTTCTATTTTTGTATATTAGAAATCTCCCCTGGCTATACACTTTTGTGTTGTCTTGATGTGTTATACTTTTTTTCCTTATGGGTTTTTCTTTGCTTTGCTTGTAGATAACAAAAATGAGAATTTAACGGCAGCTCCAGTTTTTATAGTTGCCCATTGAAATTGATATAGTCTTCTGTTTGAGAAGTTTAGATGTTTCCAAGTATTCAAAGATGCGAATTGTGAGATTTTGAAATGTTTTTGGATTATTTTCCATGCAAACTTGAATTGGTTGATCAATACGAGCGAAGTAGATTCAACCTACACCATGAACCCGTTACCAGAAATCCAACTGGTGTTTCCCTTCAATTCATCATTAGAAACTTGCTTGGATTATCACAACTTGAATAAATTTTTACAGCAAGTTACAAGTTACATGGTAAAACGGGTGAGATGGATTTATCAAGGTTTACAATATCAATATTTCCTATTCTGATTTCATTTACGGCATTTTTTCAAGTAATATTATCAATTTTTACAATTCTTCATACATTTTTCTTATCAACTTTTGATGCATACGTATCTATAACCCAAATAGACCAGATAACCACCGTTATGGCCCGATAATTATTTATGTGTAATTTTTTGGGAGATCTACATACGTATTCAAGATTCATAAGTAAGACGTGGGCGAAAGGTTTCAAGTTGCAAGACATGATTTCATGACACAAGGTAAGATAGGTAAGATAAAGAAACGTGTTTGTTCAAGGAGAGTTTCCGGGCGTTCAAAGCTGAGATTTCTTTAATGGGTCCGAGCCTGTCCGAACTTTCTAAGATATGTCGAAAACGGCTCGGATGCTCAATCAGGTTTCGCCGAGCTCGACTCCTATTTGAGCCAATAAGATCTTGAGCTTGAAAGTCGATCAAGGGGTTTGTATTTAACTTTTAATGCGGCAACAGACATCAACCTGTAACAAATTTTATCGAACCTCATGAAAGATCCTTACAGGATTTTTCGGTGAGGTTTTAAAGGAGAAACATGAGAGCATTTTGATCGATGGTATCATATCAGGTATTCAAGCTTTTCCAAGAGATCGGCGTTAGAATGCAAATGTAAACATTAAAACCCCATATGAGAAAAAACACATCTGAACCCATTTGGATTTCAAGATTTCCCCGCAAACATCCTAAATTACAAGTGGGTTGGATCGGGGTTTTCATCAAACGGGTCTCAATGCACGGTTGTATAAGTATACCGCTTTGTTGGAATGACTTGGGGTTGCAAAAAATTGGATTGGAATCCTCCGTCAAACTGTTGTACTTGAGAGTTACGGGCGAGCTTTGGTGACTTGTCAACCCTGAACTTCATCATACAATAATCAAAAGGTTGTTGATGTTTCAACCTTTTGATGAGAGAGTACATAACACAAGATCATCAAAAGAATAAGGGCCAGGTGCAGAATTTGCGCGTTATTAGTAGTTGATGTTGTTAGAGTGTTTTTTGGGTTTGAAATCAGCAGGAAGGTTAAACTACCGTACAAATGGCATCCTTGTGGTTGATTATGCATAAGGATGATTGGTGGAAAAGTTCATACCTGGGACTTCCTCAAGCTTGTCCACCTCTTCAAACTCTTCTGGTTAAATGTCTTGACAAAGACTTGGTTTTGGGTAAGGGGTGGTCAAACAGATCACTATGTTGCTTGAAAGGTGACACCTTGCTTATTAGGGCATATTCTGAGGAAATGATAATTGGTGTTTGTTGTGTTGGGGTTGATTCCAGGTTGGATGATGATGATATAGCACAGCCAGTATGCAAGCTGCATGTAATTCTTCAGCTTCCCCCACCCATCCTTAAACAGGCTTGGAAAGTCCAAATTCACATCTTTTGGCTATTCAATATTTAGACTCACCTGAACAGCCATGTGTAGCAGGTACTTCATCAGATCCTGTCAACAGATTATGTAAGCACTCTTCCTTACTGGAGGAAGAGTCTGGGCAAACTTCCAGGACGGAATTGAAGTAAAAAAAAGAATGAGAACAACATACAATGGAAAACCTGTTTTGACTTACTGGAGCAAAGGGTGTGATATCTTCCTGTGTCACTTTATGTGAGCCAAATGTGAGAATGTCACCCAGACCACCAGCCCAACCTGCACTTGCCCCTACTTGAGGCATAGGTTCCAACATATGCCCACATAGACCTGTTTGGTATGGGATCCACACCAGCATCATGGGACTGAATCAACATATATTGGTTGCTATTCACCTGAGTAGAGACAAAAACCCAAGATTTATCACTGGACAGAGACCAGGCAACTGGTTTGCAATGTCCAGCCCTGTTAACAGTGACCAGTTGGGTTGGCCATTTGGTAAGGACATTTTTATAACTGCTGCTGAGAGCTTAAATCCAAATACCACTCAGCTCAATATTATCAAAGGCATAGCAAGGAGATAGTAACAGGTCTCATTACATACTAGGGTTTATTTGCAAAGAAATTTTTCAATACCTACTCAATATAGTATCAAGAAACAAAACTCATCACAACAAGCTTGATAGTTCTATCATATATTATGACTGAGGAATAATTACACAATATGCAATTGGTTTGAGATATAATGCAAGTATATATACTCATGTGTGTTATTCTGGCATTACAACAGCTTTTACAGATATCTACTTTGAAGGATTTCTACTTTCACAGATATTCACTGCCCAATGATCAATCCCATACCTATCATCTGTGTTATCTGGTTGAAATATCGTCATAACATGGAAGATATGCACTTCAAACCAAGTCTCAAAAGGACAAATCAATTGATTATTTAGAACAGCACAGTAGAATTGAACACGACTGATTTTAGATAGCAATAACAGAAAAAAAGCTATAAGAAAAGCACCTTTGTATATATTCCTTCACTAAAAAAATGTTTTAGGCTGCGTGCTAAGAACAAAAGCGATGCATTTAACCGCAGATCGTCGGCTGTGTAGATCCCCAGTGAAACTATATGTGAGGCTGCTCGATGATGAAGAACCATCATTTTCGTTGATCGGACTGTGCAGGACGTCTCAAAGATAAGAAAATTAATCATTTTCAAAACACAAAGATGAAAGAAGCTGTAAAACAAATAGATATAACATTCCACATCGGAATAAAATAGTAAGAACGAGATTCAAGAAACTGCGATTTGTCTCTAAGAATACATAATTCTTTTGTCTTGAATGAAACAAATCAAAAACCTCGTTGAAGTACTTACATAGCTTTGTGATTGAATTTTGATCGGAGTTCTAATTTCCATCTCTACCTTGATGAATTTGAAGCACCGCTTTTTATCAAACCCTTAAACTAAAATTACATACCAAATCCCTCACGTAAAAAATCGTAAATTGATCACGACTTCTTAAACTTTACTGATTCTGTTACACGTCGTCTTCGAGGTGGAGGGAGTCGAGGGACTGATGAGAAGATTGGATAAATATTTATCAGTTTGAAATAGGCATCGAATTCGATAAGTCATCCAATCCCTAATCTTTTTGAATGTTAACCGAATGTGTGTGTTTTTTCTTGGCTTGTTTGTTCTGATTTCTTGCAGATTTCTTCACAGGTAATTACTACTTGAACCGTTTTGACTGTTACACTTACTTATGCAGTTTTGATCAATCATCAGATCTCTATCATCTTGGTCTCAAATAAATTCCTTCAAAGTCCAGACTTTAACATAAGATTACAATCCCCTTGAACTAAACCTTGATGATCTTTCCTAGGGTGATTTGCCAGTGCCACTGATCCTACAATTGTACATAACTTTACATATTTAAAGTTTACCGCGTATCAGATAATTTTCTCATCGAGCTCGAAAAATCCTTCCTTACATAAACGAAAAAAAAAATCTTCTTCTTTTAAAGTTTTCTTGATCAACAGAAACTTTAAAACTTTCATGTGCCCACGCTCTGAGCTTGGCTGCCGCTCCTCCGGCTCATACCCTACCATTGAAACTTTTTCTTCTTGATTTTTTAAGCACAAGATTTCGCCTTTTAGACTACACTTAACTTGTTTTATAAAACACACTCACACTCACACTCACTCACACACTACGCAACTACACACTAAGATTCAGTTAACATTTAGTTACATAGTAGTTTCTTTAGTGAATGTTGATTGATTTACATAAACAAATGAAATAAAAGAATTACAAAAGGAAAGGATGAATTGTTAAGATTTTGATTTCACTACATAACATAGAAAAGATTGAGAAGTTCTATGATAAAGATAGGATTTTTTTTACGATTTTTATGTACCTGGAATTGATTTTTATCTAAAAAAGAAAGCCAAAAGGAATACATACAAATACGTACAGCCCCCTATTTTCTGATTGAGATTTGTATACGTTCTACATATATAAAGTTTTTCCGCTCTATCTTCAAGTTCTCTTTGGAAAGAATTGTATGTAGAACAAGAGACCCTAGATTTCAGATTCACCTAAAAAGAGATTTTCATAGATTAAAAAACAAAAAAGGCAAATCCAAAATTCACCCTATCGTTCGGTTCTTCTGTCGACATGCACTTCTTTCGCCTTTGTTTTTCATTAAACTTGTTCAACTTAAACTGAGAATACAAAAATCATACTATACTTACTTTCAATATATCATTCAGAAAGAATCATACACTTCTTTATCATCATCATCTTTACATATCATCTTACCTCATATCTTTTGGTTTAGTTTGATTTAGACTCGGCGGGTTTTTTTTGGTATTTTCTTCTAGCGTTCTTTTGACTTCTTCAACGAATGTAAGTCTTGTATTGAACTTATCAAATTAAAAAGGTTAGTCATTTCGATTTTTTTTGGTATTCAGAAGGATTCTGATGATTCTGATGAGATTAATTTGGTAGATAGTGATCTTTTTAACTTAACACCCATCACATCAAAACTAGAATAGCTACTTATCAATCTTTAAGAGACTTTAAAAAGTTCTTTGTTTCTTTACCAAGATTGACGATCTTGTAGTGTGTGTTTCTTTTGAGAATTGGTACATTTCAGTAGTGAACTCAACTGACTGACTGATTGGATACCATACAGCTTTTTTGAGAATAAACTCAATCGATCATCACACTTTACCATCTTCGATCATTCTCTTGACTTTTCTCATTTCTCATTTCTCATCATTCTCTTACCTCAATTCTAAGACCACATCGATTCATTCTACTTAAAATGGGATTACGACATCCACCAAGTCCAGTGCTTATCAATCGATCAACCATAACCAACACAAACCATGATGAAAACAATCGATCGACTAATTCGAATTCGAATCCGAATCCGAATCGAAGATTCCATTCATCTTCAATGGTCACTAATTATACAAAATCAAATCTAATCGAAATGAATTCACAATCAGATGAAAGTTGTTTAGTAGTCATCTCATCAAAAGTTTATGATTTAACACTATGGATCGAAGATCAATCATTATCTCCTTCTTCTTCTTCATCATCATGCTTAGATTCAAATTCGATTCATCAATTAAGACATCTTTCTAAAATCGATCCTTTACATGCTGGGAATTGGTTGATTCAAAGATTAGGTTCTCATCAGATTCATTTGATTGATGAATGTAGAATTGGTGATTTCGATTCATTCGAACATCAAGCCTTACCGATCCTTCGATTCCCTGATAGTCTTGATCCTGGTGGAGGAGGAGGAGGAGGGGCTGGATTTCATTCTAATTGGAGTCAGAATTTTAATAGAAATTCAAACCAAACGGTTAGTTTCGGATTCCAGCTTTCTTGTCGATCGTTCAATTGAATCCCAAAAAAATCCTTTCTAAATTCGATACTGATGACATGTTCTTCTTGACTTTTGAATCTCTTCTAGGAATCAAATCACAATTCTATAACCGATCACCCATCGACTCCATCAACATCTACCCAAGCCATCAATACAGTCGAACCCAACTGTACCAATCCCAACCAAAGCTCTCTTCCAATTAGCTCTTCCACTCCAACACCTAGAAGATCGCACCTTTCAAGAGCTTTAGCATTAGTAGAGTATCATAAATCTTTGGTCATCGAAGCTGAAGCGAATGTAGGATCGGCTCATATTAGCTTATCTGAAGCTTTTGAAGGATTAGCTGAAGCTGAGAAGAAACGTGATCATTTGGTGATGTTGGCTTGTGAAGGCTTTCGTCCTACTTTACCTGAATGGGAATCTTTAGAAGATGAAGATGGATTTGGAACGGTTTGAATCAATGAATGAATGATTAATTTTACATTTGATTCTCTCATGAGGTTGTGTTGAGGATTGATAATTATTTACTTGGAGGGGTTTTTTCTTGGTCTCTTGGTTTCTTGATTTCTCATCATTATCATTATCATCATCAATCATATCTTTTTTGAAAGGAAGGAGGTTTATGAAGAAGAAAAAAAAATATAACATCTCATTGTTATCAAATCTTGACTTTTCTCTATTTTTTTCATCATGATATTTATATAAATAAACTTACCTCTCAATACAGGTTTCTCAATCATAATAAAGTTGTTGATCATCATTATTTTTAAACAGGACAAAAAATTACACAAAAAAAAATATATTTATATCTATATATGTCAGATTTTTCACTTGTAGTATTAGTAGTAGTAGTACTTTCTTTCTTTGAATCGAATTGAATCCTTTTATTGGTCTTCTTCTTCTTCATCTGTTTTTATTAGTCTTTTTTATTAGTCTTTTTTCTTTTCTTTCATTTCTTTCTTTCAATTTGTGTTATAATATACAAAACAAAAAGTAATCTCTGTGTCTTTTTTTTAATTTTTTTTTCTTTTGATTTAGGTTTGGTTTACAGTTTTATCTTGTGTAAGAAAGAAAATGAGATTGGTTTTTTATTTGGAATTTGATGTTTTTAAAAGAAAAAAAAATCGGAAGGAAATCCAAAATCAATCAAAACAAAAAGTAAAAGTTTTTCAAGAAATCAAAGTAGTTGTACATAAACATCTTCTCCCAACCTAAAAATCCATCTAAAAAACTTGAGACAACCCCTGCTAAAACCCCCCAAAAAAAAACTAGGTTCTCGTGGGTTGTTTGGATGGGGTTTTCAGGTTGGGTCAAGATGTTTGTGTACTGCTAATGTTACTACATAGTTGTGTAAATGTAGCAAGGGTTGTCCAAACAATTGATCATTAGTTGGGGATTTGGATTGTTCAATAGTGGTGGCAGGTTGATTATTAAGCTCCATTTTCTCATGCTGTTTGGTAAACACAAACTTCAGTAGGTTTTCAAAACCATTTTTACCCTTGGCTCCCATTCCTTTGGAATGGGAGAAGAACTTGACTCTCAAACCAAAAGGTGGAAAACAGTGGCTAGGCTCAAAGTGTTGCAGTTGAGTGCTTTGTTTAGATATATGATGATCTTGTCAATCATGATGTCCACTGGTACCATGGGGCAGAGTAGATCATTTTGATGTATTGTCTCCAATTGCTCATCCAGAGAAACCTTTGCTAGAACATACTTTGATAAGATCATAAATCCTCTGGGCTTTTCTTGAGTTAAAATCTTGAATTGATAAAACAGAAACAAAAATAAAGGGTTGAAAAAATAGGAAATGGTTTGATTTAAAAGAATCAGAATAGATTTGAAATGGAAATTGATTGAATAACAAAAACAAACTTAGAGTGAGGATTTCCATTATGTCCCTCATGGCTTGCCAATCTACCACCAAAAATACAACCTCTTTGAAGTAGCTATGTTTCTTACCATCCTTCTTTTCCTAACACCTCATAGAGTATATATTGGAAGAATTGACTTTCATAACTCAGTCTATGATCAACAGATGGACACAGGCCTTAATGTTCACATCATATTTTAAATGATATTAAAAAACATCACTTACACCTTAGGCTTCCCACATCCATTTCCAATGTTCAGCACAGATATGTACCACATTGAATAACATCACCTGACAAATGGGCCTTAAGGTTGGGTAGGTCTTTGTGCTGAGAATTAGATTGTTTGTGCTGTTGGTTGAAATTGGCCCTGTGAACACTGGATCTTTTCAGCTTTGTATTGACAGTATCCATATAACTCATGTCATCACAAACTCAACAAATGTGAAATAAGTTCAAAATGAGTTTGGATCCAGATGACTTACATCATTGGTGATATTTTTCATATATGTATCACCAAGAAGATACACAATTTTGCAGTCTTGGATGGTTTGTGGTTCATCTTCTTGATCAGAGTCAGAGTCAGATTCATTGGAATCACTACTAGGATTGATGTTGAAATATTCTTGTTCAACATCCTCATTGCCCTGATTGATCCAAAGTTTGTTGGTCCCAGGTATCTCATCAATGACATTCTTGACCTTGTCTTCCTCTATGATGACAGCCATCAGTCCAACCAGAGAAAAACTGCCTGAAATGTCATTAAAAACACGTCTGGGGTTCAATCAAAGTGAATTTAGACCTGCCTTGACAATTCAACACATCTTGTGGTAAAGGCACCAGATGGACATTGATTTTGGGTTCCAAGCTAGCTGATAATGCAAGTCAAGGCTTTCATCCTCAAGTTGTCAATACATTCCACAACCCATTGTTAAATTGCTGCTTCAAGAGTTGGATACACTGTCCAGCATGTAAAATTAGAGATCATGTCAGCATTCTGAAGACAAAGTAAAAAATGTGACAAAGCAAAAAAAAAGAGATGAAGAATGAAAAGGTAGATTGATTGAAAACACAAAGCACTCATCTGTTGATACAGATTGTTCTTTCTCAGGATGGCCACCATAGGCATGGTAAGAAACTCACCCCTATGATTCCATGCAACAACCTTCATAATTGAATGCCAAAAAATGTATGTCCAGTTGTTCTTGACGTAGGAAATCAAAGCACCAATGAACACATGGAGATTACACTTTACCTTCTAGACTTCCTGAATCCAGCCAAACTTGCTTGATAACTCCTCTAAAAAATAAAGTTGAAAGCAAGAAAGCAAGTTTCAGTCAAAGATTGAAAGAAGTAAAACCAAAAGATATCACACTAGTATCAAAAAGTTGAAACAATTGAAACAATCAAAAAGATTGAAAGAGCAAAAATCAGAAATAGAAATAATTGTCTTGAGCTCTTTTTCAATCACCAAACACTATGCCAGATTGCAAATTTACCGCTGAGTTTAGAAGATTGAGAAAACATAGAGAATTATACACAAGGCAGAAAGGGTCAAAAAAATATGGAAAAATAAGTGTTGCATTCCCCTGTATGTGCCCATCATTTTGCATATTTTGGCAGATTTTTACTGCAGCAGTGTATATCAGGTCAGAAACTCAGTTTATGTCCAAAACTGGCAGTCATGAAGGCATCAACCTTGTGAGACCCATAAAATTGTCAATTTTGTGTCAAAATCTGTGATGTGTCTGCCCATTCTGGAAGCTATGTGTTCAATTTACCAGGTACACATTGGAATGAGTGGTGTGTGTCCAAAAATGAATGAGGTACAGTAATCACCATCCCCATCAGCAAAGCTAGAAAACCTTATAAATCTTTTTCCTGCAAGGGTTTTAGCATCCAGATGAAAACTGTAATTCCAGTCTTTGGCTTTCATATTTTGCAACTGTCAAATTGATTGAAAGAAAATTGTTGTATTTGTGGTTGTTCAAAAGTTTCTGCTCAAGCCTGGGTAGTTTTGAACAAAATTTGAGTTTCTGACCAAATACACCACAAAATCATTTTTCTTTGAAACATCTTCAAAACTCAAGGTAAAAATATGAAAAAATATGCAAAATGATGGGACATCACAGGCTGATTCAACCATATTTTTTTCAAATTGTTCCAACCTCTTACAGATTTCTGAGAATTTTCTATATCTTGACTTTCCTGAACTCCATGGTATATTATTGATTTGGCATAGTGATAGCTGAAACCCATTTTTGGAATTACAGGTTTTTTGTAAAGTTGTTCAATTTTGCAGTACAATAGCTCATTTTATAAGCATTGTGATTCTGATCATTTATCATCCCAACATGACCTATTTCTGATGTGTGATGAATGAGGTATTGAGTTGTAAAGATTGATCAAATAAGCTTTTGACACATACATGTTGCTTTACATGTGTATGTAAGCGCCAAATTTGAAATTCACTCCATTTTCTTTGTTTCCTTATCACTTTTTTTCATACACCTCCGTTACTATTGTTTGAAAGTTTGTACATTTCGAAGTGAATGACTCTGCATTGATTGAGCTATCATTCAACTTCATCTGACAAGTTTTGACATATGTAATTAGCTGAAAACCTCCATTTTCAGCAAAATTCACCCCTTTTCTCATTAAGGGTACACAAACATTACAACCCATTTGAAAAACCCATTTGAGAAAAAATAGAAAAACCCGTTTAAAAAATTATTTTTTTGAACAGAAAAATAGATTGGGTCCCTCTGGAATTTTCTGTTCAAAAAAATATTTTTTTGAATGGGTTTTTATATTTTTTCTTAAATGGGTTTTTCAAACGGGTTGTAATGTTTGTGTACCCTTATTGAATAATGAGTTTCCTTATATCACAAGATCATCCTGAATCAATCCATTCTTAATAACAACTATAAAATCAATCTGAAAAACTCTTGGTGCCATAGATCCTCCAATGACATCACTACACAGGAATTAATCCCATGGTACCATTTCTTGAAATTCCCCCTTGCTTGAATAACTTCTCTCCCCCCTTATCAATTCCGATGATCATAGTTGTTAATGACTAAAGTGACCTTAATCTTTCAGAATAAAACCTTCTTGAACCTATAGCTCCCATAACAATAACCTGAAAACCATTTTCCAACCTATGTATCTATATTTTTGAATTTCTTATGTATTTCTTTTTCTTTCTTCTTTCTGATAATGTTTAACTTGTTTTGAATGGATGAACTTTAATGTAAATGAGTGATGATTACATGAGATTGATTTATTATCAAACAACTCTACAAGAAAAATATATGAAAAACCCCCAATTGTGCCCTAAAAACTTCAATTCTCCTATTTTTTTTTCAATTTTTCTTGATTGACCATATAAATTGATCACCACACTGTGCAATTCATTTGATTTAACCAAAGCTCATTGCCAACCTCATTCAGAGACTCATACCAGATTGTTGCATCCTTTAGACATCATTCACATTGACTTAAGTGGACTGAGCATACACTGTTGCTATGACAAAGCCTATACTTCATTCTTTTCACCAACAACCACACTTCATTCCTTCATATCACTGGCCTTGAATCAAAAGAAAAGGATGAAGTTTATGAAGCTATCCATACCTACATATCCCTTGTTGAGTGTCAGTGTGACCACCAGTGTGACAGATAACCTGAATGCTTACCACTTGACAGTAGTAGTAATTCTCTCCACAACATCCTACTTCCATATTTCCCAAATTTACAAGTTACGGCAGCTTATACACCAGAAGAAAACAGTTTGTCTGAAAGAGTAATGGGGACAATTGTTTCAAAGACCAAGCTATGCTTATTAAAGCAAATCTCCCAATCATGTTTTTGCTTGGATTTTGACAAGGGTCAAGGAATAACCCTTGTCCATGAAAGAAA